TAAAATGTGGTAAACTTGATTGCAAAGCATGCAAAAAAGTTCGTATGCCACATGATGATTTTCAAAGTTTATCATTTATACCTGATCCCGAACCATTAGAAAATGGTAAGTTCTAAATTTAAACTATATAATAATATAAAATATAATTATTTAGTTTATTTAATCTTTATTAGATAACAATCATTATAAAGAATTTGATAATGTCTATGGCCAGTCAACTTCAGAAAAATTTCGCCCATCAGCAATGAATAATCCTGTTAATAAAGATCTAAATGAAAAAAAGTCAGGACAATTTATTAATACAAAAATTAGATGCATAGTAACATGTGAACATTGTAACAAAATAAGATGTATATATAGCGATTCAGCTTTAACAGAGAATGAGGAAATCCAACTTCAAACTACTCTTGACAGTTTATGTTATACGTGTGGATCACAATTGCTACCTGAAGATCATGAACTTTCAAAGTATTTAAGTGTTAGATTAAATATTACTTGTGATTCTCCCATTGAGTCTACATATTTTTCATGCCGTATTAAAAAATTAGATATTTGTTATTGGTGCGGAGAGTCAGAGGATCTTGTAGAGCCTTCAGATAAATTAAAGGCTGAATGGAAAACTATATACCCTTTATGCGCATTTTGTAAAGAAAATGGGAAAACATGGTATAAAAGAGCACAAAAAAAATATATTCAATTAAGTAGTAATGATATCGAAAAAAATGTAAATAGTGCTACAAGTAAAAAAAGAAAAGCATAATGTATAAATTATTACTATAATTTTAAATAAACTAAATTGATTATATTTGAATAAGAAAGCGAAATTATAATTAAAAAAAAATTAGGTTAAAATGAACCTAAATTAGGTACAATTTGAACCTAATTTAGGTTCTTTTAATTTTTATGTTTGCTTAATTTTTCCCCTCCCCCCTCCAAGAAAATATGAAAAAAAGAACGTTAAACGAATCTTCAAATTCAAACGGCCTTACTTATTTGCGCGGGTAACACAAACCAAAAAAGGAAATCAAATTTTGTAAATAAACCAGGGTTGTGAGCTTTAGCGTTAAGCTGGAGTTTCTTATACATAAAATTTTATTCCCGTTATTTTTTATTAGTCCATCAAGGTCGATTTAAACACTAGTTTTTGAGTATTTTCGCTTTCTTTTTGTTTTTTCTTCTTTCGCACATGTTCGGAATCTGTGTCTGCTGATCCGGAATACCAGAAATTTGTGTTCTCTGATTGGCAATTTTATTTTAGAGGTTCGTATTACACGCGCAAATAACTGGATGCCGTTTAACCCGGGTTAGAGTGTCCAGAATTATGGTAAATTAAATACAAAATCATATAACGCAACAATGATTAATTACTATACTCCCGTGATCGATTCGAGACAAAAAATTGCTTCGATACTTTCGTATCGGGCAGCTAATCACTTTATTACAACTGGTTACATTATTTTTGAGACATCTGAAAATTTTTTGATGGCCGAATCGATAAGTCACCGAATCGGAATCAAATGTCAGCTGACATCAAAAACTTATCGTCGACAAATTTTCAAAGTCCCAAAAATAATGAAAACAGCTGTAATATATTCAAGCATTTAATGTACTAATCACAATTCATTGAGACACTCTATTTTTACTCGATATCGAAGCATCCGCGATGTCAAAATTTGATAAATTATGCGCATATTATGCTTTCACATAGTTCCAGACCCTATGAGGTCAACCCACGGCGGGTCAACCACCCGGATTGCTACAATTCAATTCGGGTCACCCGACCCATCCGCGGGTGACCCGAGTAATGTCCACCCGGGTCCAAACACTATCCCCAGGAAACAAACATTAATAAAGTCATAATAAATATGATTCTTAACTATCCGTTACATATCGTGAGTCACTGTACGTTATTTTAAGGACAATGTTTTGAGAGATTATATCCTTACCTAGGTTTACCGGTTTAGGGAGTTTTTGAGATTTCAAAAGCCGACTCGTATAAATAGCCTGCGGATGTGTCCGATAATCGATTTTTGCCGAGTTGACTTGATTATTTATTGAGGAATTTTTATCCAGGTCCTTAATTTCTTTAACTTGTTCATATAATTCGGTTTTTTCGTCGTTTAAATCAAAGAAAAATTGTTTCAGTTTATTGGCTAATTCTTCAGCAGTTGGTCTTTCATGAGGTTCAGCATCTAAACATTTTTTCATTAAATCCAAAAGCAATTGAGGAACTTTACATCCGATTTTAGGTCTATTGCCTTGAAAAATAGATAGGACTAATTGATCATCATGTGGAACATCATAATATGGAGGATATCCAGTAAAAACTTCTGACATAATTATTCCGAATGAATAAATATCTGATTTTTGAGTGTATTCCTTTCCATTTGTATATAATACTTCTGGTGCAATGAAGGGAAGTACACCAAAGAGTTCTTCAGAATTTTGATCATGTGATACTGGCTTACATAAACCAAAATCGGTAATGTAAGAATCAAATATATTTTGATTAACTATATTTCCGGAATGAAAATCTTTATGTACTAAATTGGCTTCGTGAATTCTATTAAGCCCAGCAGCTATGTGATATAAGTTAGCTATTTTAGAAGCCCAATCTAATTCATTATATTTATTATCTAAAAATTTTCGGAAACTTCCTTGCTTTGCATACTCCATAACCATCATGTAATTACCATCTTTTGTGTTTCTAGTTATTCCATAAATCACAATTGAGAAATTGCCCCCAAGTTTATGTTGATTTTTAATCTAAAATATTAATTAGGATAAATAAGATTATTACACCTAAATAATGGTAAATTATAATACTTACTTCTTTTAAAAATTCTTGCTTTATATCTTTAGAATTATCAAGACTTTTTAAACAAACGTTTATTTGCGGCTTTCTACTCCATTCATTCTTCTCCTGATCGAATTTTTCAATATATCCTTCAATCCACACTGCCTTAAAAACAGTGCCAAAGCCTCCTTTAGCAAGATACTTTATGTTTGCAAATTTGCTAAAAGGTATCCATTCAATAATGCCCTTAAAATCCTTTGCCTTCGTTTGTGTTTTTTGAATTAAATGATCAATGTCGTGGTTGTCACTTGTCCAATTATGAAATTCTTTTTTAAATCTTAATATTAAAAAATAATAAATATATAATAATAATTAAGCGCTACAATCTAAAAGTAACTAATATACCGTCTACGTATAATGGGTTAATATATAATTAATTCAATATTTCTAATTTATTGTAAAAAATTATATTACAAAACTTACTCGCTATTGCGGTAGCACAGTATGCAGTTAAGGTTGAGTTAGTTTGTATTGGATCAACAGTCGTGATTTATGTTTTACAGTAAAAAATTGTTACAAAACTTACGCTCTGTAGTGATGTGGTTGAATTAGTTTGTATTGGAACTAACAGTCGTGATTAGAGTTGTTGGTGAAACTAAATTGAGCTGGTGAAACTGGTGACTATCTAAAATTTGATTGGCTGTTTACTATAATAGCCAATCAGATTTTAGATAGTCACCAGTTTTACTAGCTCAATTTAGTTTCACCAACAATTCTAGTCGTGATTTATATCATGGTTTAATGTAAAAAATTTTGCTACAAAACTTACTCGCTATTGCAGTAGCACACAGTGTGTGTTAAGGTTTAGCTTGTATTAGAATTAAAAGTCGTGATTTCTATCATGTTTTACTATAAAGAATTTTGTTACAAAACTTACATCCTATTGATTAAGGTTGAGTTAGTTGGTATTTGAATTAACTTTCACTGTAAAAAAATTTTGTTACAAAACCTACTCGCTGTTGTGATAACACAGTGTGTGGTTAAGGTTGAGTTAGTTTGTATTGGAATCAATTGTCGTAATTCTATCACGATTTACTATAAAATTTTATTTTTTTTTTTTTACAAAACTTACTAGCTATAGTGATGCGTGGTTAAGGTTAAATTGGTTTGATTGGTATTAGTGGTCATGACTTCTATCATGTTTTACTGATTTTGTTACAAAACTTACCCGCTATTACGATAACACATAGTGAGTTAAGGTTGAGTTAGATTGTATTGGAATTAACTATCATAATCTCTATAATGATTTACTATAAAAAAATTTTTTTACAAAACTTACAGTCTGTATTGACACGTGATTAAGTTAGTCTGTATTGGAATTAACAGTCGCGCTTTCTATCATATTTTGCTATTTTTATAAAACTTACCGACTATTGCGGTAGCATACAGTGTATTTGTAATGGAATTAACAGTCTTGATTTTTTTTGTGCTTTACTGTAAAAAAAATTATTTCAAACCTTACCGACTATTGCGGTAACACAGTGTGTGTTATGATTGAGTTAGTTTGTATTAGAATTAACAATTCTATCATGCTTAATGTGAAAATTTTTATTACAAAACTTACTAGCTATATTAACACGCGATTAAAGTTGAGTTAGTTTGTATTGGAATTAACAGTCGCGATTTCTATCATGTATTACTGTAAAAAATTTTATTGCAAAACGTACTCGCTATTGCAGTACGTAATACAAAGTGTGTGATTAAGGTTGTGTTGGAATTAACTCTCGTGATTTTTATCACGTTTACTATAAAAAATTTTATTACAAAACTTACTCGCTATTACGATAACACACGGTATATGGTTAAGATTGAGTTAGTTTTAACAGTCGTGATTTCTACGTATCATGTTTTACTGTAAAAAATTTACAAAACTTACTCTCTAGTGCGGTAACACAATGTGTGGTTAAGATTGAGTTAGTTTGTATTGTATTTAATAGTCACGATTTTCTATAATGATTTACTGTAAAAATTTTTGTTACAAAACCTACTCGCTATTGGGTAACACAAAATGTGTGGATGAGTTAGTTTGTGTTGAAATTAATAGTCGTTATTTTTATCATGATTATTGTAAAAATTTGTTACAAAACTTACAGACTATTGTGATAGCACAAGTGTGAGAGTTAATTTGTATTGTAATTAACAGTCATGATTTCTGTTGTAAAAATTTTGTTACAAAACTTACGTGCTATTGCAACGTGTGGTTAAGGTTGAGTTAGTTTGTATTGGAGTGATTTTTATTATGTTTTATGTAAAAATTTTGTTACAAACTTACCGACTATTGCAGTAGTACAGTGTGTGATATTGGAATTAGCAGTCGTGATTTCTATCATGTTTTTACTATGAAAATTTCTGTTACAAAACTTACTCGCTATTGAGATAACACGCAATGAGTTGAATTAGTTTGTATGGAATTACAGTAATATTCGCGAGTTTTATCATGGTTTACTGTAAAAAATTTTGTTACAAACTTACAGTCTATGCGGTAACACATTAAGGTTGAGTTAATTGTATCGTTTTATTGGAATTATCAGTTGTGATTTCTATCATGTTTTAATGTAAAAATTTTGTAACATAACTTACTCGCTATTGAGGTAACACAGTGTGTAGTTAAGGTAGAGTTAGAATTAATAGTCGTAATTTCTATCATAATTTACTGTAAAAAAAAATTTTTACTACAAAGCTTACTAGCTATAGTGACACGTGTTAGTTTGTATTGGAATTAACAATATCATTATTTACTGTAAATAATTTGTTACAAAACTTACCGACTATTGCAATAGCACAAATGTGTGGTTAAGGTTGAATTAGTTTGTATTAGAATTAACTGTCATGATTCTATTATGTTTTTACTGTAAAAAATTTTGGTACAAAACTTACGAACTATTGCGGTAACACACAGTGTG